GTGCACTGGGTTGCCATGAGTCAGGGGTCAAATCAACCACAGCTAACAGCAACAACAAGGTGTTTTCAGTCATGTTTCTACAAATTCATTTGAGTTACTGGGCAAGAGCAAAGTGAGGTGGAGTAGCATGGAGGCCCATGAATCCTGCAAAGAACATTTGTGGTTATATTTGAAAAAACAAAAATCAGCATGCATTCATAGTACAAGGAAATGTAGTAGGAACTATTGCTATTGAAATGCCAGCTTGGATGGAGCCAAAAATAGCTAATGCATCCAGGGCTAATGCAGGGAAGCTGCGATGAAGCGTTTCCTTGGCAATTGAGTTACTTAAAGGTAAAGCAACTCAGTTTGATCAAAGACTGGTTGCTCTGCTCTCATCTCCTCTATGGGTTCTGCAATTGTAATGCTCTGTAAAGGGAAAAAAATCGTCGACAATCTAGTTCACTTAAAAAAAAGGGGGAGAGGGTTATCAAAAACTATCACGAAGAGAGCAATCCAGTTGGATCAAAACAGAGACACTAATGGGAGAGGCACACTCAGCCCCAGATGTGTCCCAACATGCCTTAGGATTCATCCTGTCCCAAACCTTTTCCTGCGAGGCCCTGAAGCCCTTAAATCATAGGCAGGGGGAGCGACACCAGAATATCCAGGAACCCGACATCTGTCAGTCTGAATGTAAAGTCTTGGATTTCAAACCAGAGTTAGCTCCTTCTCAAGAAGTCAAGAAGGAAAAGAAGACAGACAATAGCTTCTATTTCTTAGCATGCATAATCCATGCTTCAGAGGTTGCTAGGCAACGGGCTGAGAGGCTGTCAAACATCCCTGGTACCTCCAATGGGAAAGAAGCAACCCAGCAGCCACTGCACAGAGGTGAGAGGCTCTGCCATCCTGGGAGGCCACGTTCAGATTGTTTCATTCCAAAAGGATCATTGTGGCCATGGCTGCACTGGAGACGTTTTCATCTGAGGCATATTTAGATAGTATTTGAATATACTTCCCACAGTGGCCCTGTAAATGGGCCAGTCAGGCCAGCAAGGCACAGCTCTGTGCAGGTCTGTGTGTCATTCCGATCCCATCCAACTCTTAGGTGGCTGCAGCTCTGGCACCCAGAGAGTTAAAATGGGGAAACTCTCTAAAGCTTGAAATCCCTCTAGCACATAAGCAAGACCTCAACAAAAATTCACATTCAAGGTCAATGAGATGACAATTCATGGGTTTGTGACCATGAAGTTAGAATGAACTTTTAGGCTGTAGGCACTTTGTCCTCATTATTTGAGATAAGACTTTCATGTTGAACCTCAACAAGTGTACTGGCCAAGAGACAAGGTTAGGATTTGACAGAGTAAAATTCTTTTTAAATTTTCAGCCAGGCTGACTAAAAGGCAAGCACTTTTCATAGATCATTAATTTGAAACATTTATTTGGCAAAGTCCCTGGGTACAAATGGTTAATGAAAACTGAAAGGCTGGAGGCTTGAGCAGATAGAGTACGCTCAGATATACCTCAGAAGAAAGGCCTGATGATCCACTTTTAAAAAACCCGCCACTGAAAAGCCTGTGAAGCACACTTTTACTCTGACACACATGGGGTCAACATGAGTCAGAGTCGACTTGATGGCAATTGTTTTTGGTTTATGGTATTGGGTCAAGCCAAAGGTCCTAGGTCCAGTTCAGACATTGGATTAGGGCAATAACTGGAATTTCAACCAGAGAGGGCCTCATCAACCAACAATGGTGAGGGGGGATGCATTCAAACAGAAGTGTGCCATGGGTGGGCAGCTGGAATGGTATATGTTCTCTTCCATAGATAGCTCAGTGACCAGTAGTTAAACACTGCTGTCTGCCTGCTAACCCTTCAAGGTTAGTAGTACTGTCTAAGCTCTGAAGTCTTGTTTTAGCACTTGTTTGGAAGGAAATGTAATGTATGAATTGAAAGTGTTCCAGACTTAGCCATGCCTTTTCCTTAGGGCATTGAAGAAATATAGTGAAGTAGACACAGAATAAGGAATGATACTAAAATGAACCAACACTTGTCTGTCAGTTTGTCACACTTGTCTGTCAGTTTGTCATACTGTGGTGGCTTATGTGTTGCTATGATGCTGGAAGTTATGCCACAGGTATTCAAAAAACCAGTAGGGTCACCCATGGCAGATAGGTTTCAGCAGAGCTTCCAGACTAAGACAGACTAGGAAAGAAGCTCAGGTGATCTACTTCCCAAAATTAGCCAGTGAAAACTCTATGGATCACAACAGAATATTGTTCAATATAGTGCTGGAAGTTGAAATCCTAGTTTGGAAGGCATTCAAAATACACAGTGGGTGCAACAGTGAACTCTAGCACACCTAAGATCACGAAGAAGGCACAGCATGGGGCAGTGTTCTGTTGTACGTGGAGTAACCATGAGTCAGAGCTGACTCAACAGTAACTACCAACAGTAAGGCTGATGACCTCCAAGTAGCAGTGGGTAACAGAGGCCTAGAATATGAATCCATGGTCTTCAGTTTCCTTGGGTAGAACAATGGCTAGGTTAGGATCGAAGTCTCTGAATGGTGCAAATAGTTATAGTGCTTGGCTGCTAACTGAAAGTTAGAATCCACCCAGAGGTATCTCAGAAGAAAGATCTGGTGGTCTACTTCTGAAAACTCTGTCACTGGAAACCCTTGCAGCATAATTCTACTCTGACACACATGGGGTCACCATGAGTTGAAGTCCACTTGAAGGCAACTTGCTAACTTAGAATTCTCTAAGAATCTCCCAGTTCTACCATTTTATCAGTCTAGAATCTATAAATATAGAGACGGTTTTTTAGTCTCATTTATCCCAAAAGAAAAAAAAAAAGAGAAAAAGAAAAAAGCAAAGACTTCAGACATAACACTGCCAAGTGTCTGAACATTTTGTGCTAAAAAAAAAAAAGAAGAAAGGAATCTTTTTGAGTAAATTAAAGCAGACGCAGTAGCAGCAGCAGGAATTAAACACCCCCGAGTCTCTGCAGGACTCCTACTTTGACACTTCTACCCTATTTGACCGCTAATCCTCACATCTCTATAGGGCTCCTCTCCTCTTTCTCTCCTGTCTTACTCTCCCTGCTCCATTTGCCTATCTTTGTGAGATTATACATATTTGATAGACATTAAATGTATCCTCCCTAGAAGGTCTGTCCTTTATGCACCCCAAAATGCAGGTTTTATGAGGCTGAGAATTTGAGGATATCACTACCATCCAGGTTACCCTTGATGACAAGGAAAGCAAACGCATGATTTTTCTATTTGGACAAACATAATAGATTCTGTGCTTAGTCTACAGAATGGATAGGTTCAAGAATAATTGTATTTATCTCCTCAGTTATCCATCACACACATAATGAAGCATTTTATCAAAAAGTACAACAGTAACAATATATATATGATTAAAATAAAGATGAAAAATTGTCCTGGTAGTAACAAATGCCATTCATACAAATGTTGTGTGCTTGACAGAAACAAAACTCAAATCCACAATCACCTTAATCACCAAGAAGTAATATTGTTTCACAATTTAAGAATAGCCATGTTCATATTCATTTTACACTCAATTCATTTTATAAAGATATGCCTCTTTTAGTTGCTATATGTATATTATCCAACACTTTATTTTTTTTCCATCTTGACAATGTATTTTAAAACATCCATTGAAATCTTTTGTGCTATTTTTGTTAATTCTTATGTTTCACAGGCCTCAGTAGAAATTTTATCCCTTTTTAATAATGTTTATCTCAGTGAAGATCAGATCTCCTGAGTTTGTTGAGAATTGACTATAATGAAGGGCTTTCAGACTTCTTTGTTTCAGTAAGAATATTGTGTCTCCCAGGGATGGTGAGGAGTCCCTGGGCGGTGCAGTTAATGTGCTTGGCTGCCACCTGAAACGTTGGAGGTTGAAGTCTACCCAGAGGCACCTTGGAATAAAGGCTTGGAGATTTACTTCTGAAAAATCAGTCATTGTAAACCCTGTGGAGCACCGTTCTACTCTGACACACATGGGATCATCATGAGGTGATGGAAGACATAAAAGATACCATCCAACCTAGGTCTGGCACAGCTTTTGCTGAAGTCATGTCATGATGTGTAAAGTCCTGGGGCTCTGGACACATTTGGGAGGAACAAAGTAAGGTGTGATAGAAGATTCAGGAGAACAGAGGCTTAGAGGAGAAGTGACATGCACAGTTCTTCCTTCCAGAACCTTGAACATGAGACTGGCTCCAGCTGAGCTTGGCACAAACCTACTAGTTGTTGTTGTTGTTGTTATGTGCCATTGAGTTGGACCAAACTCATAGCGACCCCTCCTTGGGTTTCCAAGGTAGTATCACTACAGAAGTAGATTGCCCCATCTTCCATCCGAGGAGTGGCTGACGGGTTTGAACTGCCAGACTTCTGGTTAGCAGTCAACTGCCTTAGGCACTACACTACCAGAGTTACCATGAAATCTGAGGAGACAAAATTGAGTCTCCAAGACTTAGCTGCTGCTTAGCTGGTCAAATTCTGTTTGACCCCATTGACCTTCCTCCATCAATTTAGTCAGCATAGACTCAGAAGAGTTGCTTAGAGCTTTTCATAGCCTACAGATGAGTAACTTGCCTATAATAGTTGGATGTGCTCCATATATCCTTCTGACTGTCCATTTTCCCACTGCCATGGAGTCGATTCCAACTCATAGTGGCCCTATAGGCTAGAGTAGAACTGTCCTCCTATAGGGTTTCCAAGGTCATAAATCTTTACAGAAGCAGAATGTCTCATCTCTCTTCCACTGAGTGGCTGGTGGGTTCAAACAGCCTACCTTTTGGTTAGCAGCCAAATGCTGTAACCACTGCACCACTAGAGCTCCTTGACTATCCATTTTGTTAAAGGAATCTGAACATACGTACCACAGCAAACATAATTTGCTCCCAAATTGATCACTAAAAATAAATAAAACATCCACACATTAGTGTGACCGTGATTAATGAGATATTCTGGAGTTTTCTCTTACCTTCACTGCCACCAAGATCTTGTCCTGCTCAGGACAGAGGTTATAGCATTCAGCTAGGAAAACTTTTCCAAAGGCTCCTTCTCCTAGCTCCCTTTTCAGAACAATATTATGGCGCTTGATGTGCTGAACAACTGTAAAACAAAGCAGAATGGAAGTTGGAATCGGAGCACATGGAGGCCAAGGCAGATGGTGGGGAGTCAATGGTCTATATCCAGAGCTCGGCTCCCAAGACTCTCTCCTCTCCATAATGGCAGTGTTCATCCTCATAGTGTGCTCCAAATAGCTGGAAGGAGGTTCCACTGACCAACTGTATGGAGCACAATTGTCGTTTTAGATGGGGTAAAAGCAGAGATGCAGCAGTTGACTGCAAAATATCTTTAATGAGATTTACAAACTAGGAAAGGGGAGAGGTGAGAAGGGAATTAATATTAATGACAGGCCTCTTGCAGGCCAGATGCTTTGCATGAATTTGTTAGTCATGTGCCTGGTAGAGAGAGGCCAGAATCATAGCTAGAAATCCGTAATTCTTCGTTAAGCCACCTCAGACTTCCAAGGGAGACAGACCTAGAAGACACACAGGGAAAATACAGAATCTGAACATTGCTGATTATGGATTTGGCCTCACCACAGTTTGGAGAGGTGGCCTAGCCCATGGTTGAGCCCCAGTGACTTATTTTGTTTAGACTAGAAAGTACTTAATTGCTAATGGCTGGGTTTCTTTACCCCTTTCTAAGATCATGCCTTACACTTGGCTTGCGAAAGCCAAGAAGAGACAAGAATAGATGATACTAAGGAAGAGGATATTTCTCCCTATGGTCCAGAGAACAGCTGGTCCAATTCATCTGTTCAGCTGCCTTCCTGGGGCAGAGGTTAGAAAGCAGTCAAAAGTCCTTCGAAGCCCACCATGTACAAGGTGTATACCAGATATACAGAAGGACAAAGCCTAAAAGGAGATTCTGTGTTGTGCTGAATCCCTTTCAGGGTCCTAGCGGATCTCAGCCACCATCCTTTTCTGAATTCTCACCCCAAATGGTAGTACTGTAATGAGATTGTGATGCCCTCTAGAGTTTGGAACATGCAGCCAACAATATTCTCTCATTTCCTTCTCATAACCTTTCTCTAGGAGCTCTGGTAGCATAGTGCCTAAGGCACTTGACTGCTCACCAGAAGGCTGGCGGTTCAAACCCACCAGCCACTCCTCGGAAGGAAGGTTGGGCAATCCTACTTCCGTAGTGATACTGCCTCGGAAACCCAAGGAGGGGTCGCTATGAGTCAGGGCCAACTAGACGGCAAACAACAACAACCTTTCTCTACATTGTAAAAATGAAGTGATTCATGGTGTTTGAATGGTGGAGTTGGGATTTGAACCCAGGTCTGTCTGAGTCAAAAGTTAATGTTTTTCTTCTATATCACAAAGTCTCTTTTCAATCATAAATTGTGTTAAACATGACAAGAGCCATAATATATTTAAAGAAATAAACAAGAGTAAAATGTAAAAATTATCTCCTGCTTCCTCTCTGCTTAGTTCACTCTTCAAAGCCCAATTCAAATTCTCATTCTCTCAGAATGAGAACCAGTTTGACCATCAATGCCTTCCTCACCCTCTGAACCCACAATGCATCATGTGTTATGCTTAATTGTATTCTGACTTAGCTCCCAATCATTTCATGTATGTAAGCTCCCTGAGGCAAGCCCTATATATCTCATGCTACCCTGTGTAATGCACAAATGATGAATACATAAAACCAAAAACTCAAACCAGTTGCCATTGAGTCCCTGGGTGGTACAAATAGTTAAGCACTTGACTACTAACCAAAAGGCTATCTGTTTGAACCCACTCAGAGGCACTTTGGAAGAAAGTCCTGGCAATTTGCCCCCAAAAGGTCATAGCCTTGAAAATCCTATGGAGCCAAGTTCTACTCTGCAACATATGGTAAGCACATGATAAGGATTTATTACTGAGGTTAAATTTGATAACCTTTCTTAAAAAGTTTTTACTTGGCTGTAATGCCATTGTAACAACAAAAGAAAATGTAAAATGTATCTATGCACTTTAAATAATGCTAACAATAACTATTCATGAACTCACTACCCCATTTAAGAAATAAAACATCATTAGTACCTTAGGAGTCTCTGAGTGGTGCAAATGGTTATGTGCTCTGCTGTTAACCAAAAGGTTGATGGCCCAATTCTACTCAGAGACACCTCAGAAGAAAGATCTGGCAATCTACTCCTATCATTGAAAGCTGCGTGGAGCACAGTTCTACACTGCCACACATTGTGTTGTCAAATGCATCTGGTCCATTCCTTAGAAGGCCCACAGTGTTCTCTTCTGATTGTATGCACTTCCCTAGTCACCCACCAAGCATAACTAACCACTACCCTGAATTTTGTGTTAATCATTTCCTCTAGAGGTTTGCTACTAATGCTTTATTCCTAAATCAGTTATTGTTTAGCTTTGTATTTTTGATCTTATGTAAATTGAATTACAGTATGTGTATTTTTTCATATCTTGTATCTTTTATTTTGAATAATAACAATGTTTATGAGATTGAGTCCAATAGTGTGTGTAACTGCAATTATTTCACTTTTACTGCTTTATAATATTCTGTGGAAGGCTTATACCACTATTTATTTATCCATTCTATGTTGATGAATGTTCAATAAAGTTTCTTTTTAGATATAACTTTATCTATAAAAGCAAGTGGTTATGAAGGTTTTCATTTAATGAGGTTTTTTTTTTTTTTTTTTTTTTTTATCCTGATAATTCATGTGGTTTGGAGCTATGAATGCCTCCATGAACCTCTGGGAACTCAGGGTGATAAAAACCAAAAGGTCTTTTAATGTGCAACAGTATTAATGAATATAGGAACATATATTAATTTCTCATGCCACAGTACCATAGCCTGAATTTAAGAGGAGAGAAATGTGTTCATTAGGTAGAGTGCCCATATAAAGAACATGAATGTAATTCTTTCAGAGAATTAGCTGCCTTATTTAAATCTAATATTTAACTCCCTGGTTGTCACATGTTCGTTGGGAATTAAAGTGCTGCTTGATTTACTTCACACTATAACACAGATCAAGGCAAGTTTTAAACTTTTTTCTTTCCATTTGATTTATATTCTTTTTTTCTTTTCAATTCCAAGAAAATTGCTTTAAAAATAATAATAAGTTTTTAAAACTATAGGTAGAAGTAAAATTTCATCTATCAAACTGGATAGAGCAATTTTCTTTAAAAACCAAACTCACTGCCGGCGAGTTAGATCCGACTCATAGGAACCCCTCCTTTGGGTTATGAGGCGGTATCACTACAGAAGTAGATTGCCCAACCTTCCTTCCAAGGAGCTGCTGGTGGGTTTGAACCACCAGCCTTCTGTTTAGTAGTCAAATGCCTTAGGCACTATGCTACCAGAGCTCCCAGTTTTCTTATGGTGATCTGGAAATCAGTATATGTATCATTTCTTTAAGAAATCAGTTATTTTGCATTTATTTGCTTTGTTGTGCTTTGGAGCATAATATATTATATGGATAGTGGGTTTTGCTAATATTCCCTCTAAACAGAGTAAATTTCTCTTTTATAAGACTGGAAACTACTTAGAGGCATGGATAACAATTTATGCATCTATTTATTTCTCTGGTAATGTAGTGCCTAAGGCACTTGACTGCTAACCAGAAGGCTAGTGGTTCAAACCCACCATCCACTCCTCAGAAGGAAGGTTGGGCAATCTACTTTCATAGTGATACCACTTCAGAAACCCAAGGAGGGGTCGTTATGAGTCGGAATCTACTCTACAGCATGAATTTGGTTTGCTTTTTTTCATGTATTTCTGACTGTGTCATCTGCATATCACAAGTTGTTAATGAATCTTCCTCCAATCTTGATGTGTGTTCTTCTTCATATAGTCCAGCTTCTCAGATTATTTGCTCAGCATACAGATTGAACAAATACATGAAAAGATACAACACTGACACATATTTTTCCTGATTTTAAACCATGCAGTATCCCCTTGTTCTGTTTGAACGAATGCCTCTTGGTCTTTGCACAGTTTCTGCATGAGCACAACTAGATATTCTTGAATTTCCATTCTTCCCAACGTTATCCATAATTTGTTATGATCCACATAGTTGAATGCCTTTGCATAGTCAATAAAACACAGATAAATGTCTAGCTTACTGAAAGTGAAGAAAACTGAAAGCACTTACCAATGAAGATCAGACTACAGTCTTTGGTATGGATTATACCACAACATAAAGAAAACAAAAACCCAACTACTGGACCAGTAAGCAACACATGATAAATGGAGCAAAACTGAAGTTGTTAAAGATCTCATTTTACTTGTATCCACAATCAACCCATGGAAACAGTGGTCAAAAAATTAAACAACATATTGCTAAAAAAGATCTCTTTAACATGTTAAAAAGCAAAGCTATCACTTTGAGGACTATGGCATGCTGAACTCAAGCCATAGTTTCTCTCACTTCATATACATGTGGAAATTAGACAATGAATAAAGAAGAATGAACAAGAATTGATGCCTTTGAATTACGGCATTGGAGAAGAATATTGAACATGCCATGACTGCCAGAAGAGTGAGCAAATATGTCTTGGAAGAAGTACAGCTCTTCAGAAGCAAGGATGGCAAGACTTTGTTTCATATATTTTAGACATATTCAAGAGAGACCAGTTCCTGGAGAAGGACATCATACTTGGTAAAGTAGAGGGTCAGCCAAAAAAAAAAAAAAAGGAAGATGCTCAACGAGATAGATTGACAAAAGTGGCAGCAACAACAGACTCAAACAGCAATGATTGAGAGGATGGTGCAGGACTGGGCAGGGTTTCATTCTGCTGTGCACAGGGTCACTATGAGCTGGAACTGACTGGATAGCACATAACAAGAACATGTCTTTCTGACAAGACCTCACAATGCTTTACATACAGTTGGCAAGATTGATGGTTTGAACCCAGTCAGCAGCACTGTAGAAAAAGGCCTGGCAATCTGCTTCTATAAAGATTACAGCCAAGAAAAACCCAGAGAGCTTAGTTCTAGTCTGTAGCACATGGGATCACTGTGAGTCAGAATTGACTTGACTGGCAATGGGTTTGGGATTTTTTTTTTTTTTTTTTGGC